AAGAAACCCGGAAAACAGTGAGGATTTTGCAAGGGTCTCGGGGCTTGCAGACCACCTCTTGCAATGGCCAGCCGTCAGACGGCTGTCCATGCATCTCCCGGGCCTTCCCTGCGGCTGGCAAAGATGCGTTTGTGTTCACCTGGAGTAGGGATGGGGCCGGCTGAAGAAAGCCCCAGTGGCACAGGAGAACTGGGAACTGCGCAACACCCAATGCTACCCGCGGTAAGTGACCCTGCTATGGTGAAGTGAAGAGGGTGCCATCGTCCCGCGGTCGGGTACCAGCTGTCGAGGAGGTGCAGGTGTGGAGCAGGGCGTCATGACTGCCCTGAAGATGGAGCATGGCGTGAAGCTGGTGTGTTTGGAGTCCTGCAGGCAGGAGCTGAGCTCGCTGTGCAGGCACGGGCCTGGCTTCTGGTCTGCACTTGACAAGAGGGCTGCTCTCCTCCCCAGAAAGCACTCTGCAAGGTCGGTAGTTTGGGGAACCTGGTGATGTGCAGCACATCGTGGGCATCTCGCCAAATAACAGCGGCGTGACCTGGAGCTGTGGGATGCCTGCCATACCAGAAGAGAGACTGCTCTGCTGGGGACAGCTCCGTGCTGTCCCTGCTGGTCCCAGGGCAGGGCGTCCAGAGGAGCGACGTGCCCTACCCGCTCCTGGGACAGCATCCTGAAATAACACCTGCCTGCATGTCCTTGAGGTCCTTCCTTTGGAGCACTCCTGAGGGATGTCCCCAACACCAGGGAGCCTTCCCAGCCAGCTGCCTCGAGGGATGCCCCCAAGGAGCACGTGCCTTCACAGTTAAGCAGGTTAAGAAAGTCCTTTCTCCAAGGTCTGGATTAGCCACTGCTGCTCCAGGCAGAATGGGCTCAGCGGGGACGCTGCCAGTCAAGTGAAGACTGCACGCAGGGACCTCAGCTGGAAGGGGATCTGACCCAACACGGTGCCATGAAGCAACCCTATGCCCCCCATGCAGGGAAAGCAGATCTTATACCCAGGAGCTTTCCCTGCTCTTCAGAAGGACCAGGCGGGATGGGCTGAGGAGCAGCAACCCCTGTCCATGGGCTGAGCACTGTTCCTAGGCGATGGAGCAGGATGTATGGCCAGGGACGAGGCAAGATGTATCCTATTAGCAGGCAAGACAGAGGTGTCTTCTACATTAGTTCAAGGGCTTTGCCATGTCACATACACTGCGGTTTTGGGGGTCTGCCTCCTGTTTTCTTTTCAAGGGCACTGCACTCACCAGCTGGTGACACCATCCCTGTGGTGGGACACCCCACTCAGCCCCATGCACCAGACCAAACTGGGAGGTTTTGTAATGCTGCGCTCGCCTGTGGATGCAGACGGGCTCTGAAGATGGACAGACTCCAGCTGAAACTGCTGCAGCAAGACAGGGCCAGGCACCGGGACCTGCTCTCAGGTGGGAGTGGGTACAGGACCCCTTCAGGGATGGTGACAGGCTCAGGGGACAGCGAGACAGCGTAGCATTCAGGGTGACTTTGCTCCGAACGCGTGTTGGCTCCCACAGACGTGTCCCTCCAGGATGTCCTGCACAATAGCTCCGCTTCAGCAGCAAAGAGTTTGTGTTGATCTTGCTGTCGCTTTGGGTAGCCGCCGGCTTCCTGCGGGCACGTACGCTGTGAGCAACATCCGACGGGGAAGGGATGTTGCAGGGAGCTTCACGTTTTCCGTGCTGGGGCCCACAGGATGAGTAACAAAGGAAAATGGAAGGAGCGAGTGTGTGCGCGTCGGCATTGCTGCTCAGAGCTGGCTGGTGTGTCCTGCATCCCGCCGTGCGCCCGCCAACCCAGCAGGAACCCCAGCTCTGCTGCTGATGCTCTCCCAGTGGTGCCTTCTCTGTCCCTTACCCACCGAAGTCATTAGGTCTAATTTGTTCTCCCTGCTGTTCCAAGGGCTGACGCTGGTTGCAGCACGGCTATACTGGGCCAAGGTTTCTGGGCACGGAGACAAAAGGTGGTGTTGGCTTTTGTCCTAGCTGCTTTTTAGCTCTCTGCAGATTTAGCAGATACCTGTGTATCAAAGCATGGGACAACAGTTCCCTGCTCTCCCGCCTCTCTGGATTTCATACCGCTCTGCTCATCTGCCATAGGAGAGCACTCGCTCCTCCCAGGCCTCCGAAAGACCTGGAGTTGGTGCTTCGGTACTTTAAACAAGACTTTTTTTTAACAAGCATGTCAGACGATATTGCTCTCCTACTAGGCAACTCTTCATTAAAACTTTATACTTTAGGAAGCCTTTCACAGAAGACACACTCCAAGCATCCCTCCTGTTGGACTGCAGCAGGTGGGAGCAATTCAGTAACTCAAAAGGATTTCCAGAGGGAGGAGACTACTGAGTCCTGAACAAGCTCCAGATCGAAGGAGGCAGCATGTGACCAGACCCCTCTGCAGCACCGGGACACTCGGAGCTGAGCCCAGCCAGGCTGCAGGGGAGGCACGGGGCTCACTGTGGCACTGGCCAGATCTCCCACAGCTGGTGGAAGAAGGCTGGGGCTCTGCAGGGCTGCTGTGGGGCACGGTGGACAGTTGAGCGCAGGAGACGTGGATAAACATCCAGTTTTGGCATGGAGTACTTTAACCAGAGCCCTTGGGCTGCCCTGGCACGAGCACTCTGCACAGGGCACCCTGGCCAGCTGGACTCCAAGGAGGGTGCAGTTCACACAGGCTGGTTACTCACATTTATATGATTTCCTTGGGAAAGTCTTGCATGTACACAGCCTTAGCAAGCCAGTGTGAACCCAGTAAAACACATTTGCTTCCAAAAAAAAGGGCTTTCATTGACAGAAGCACCAACCCAGATTGGATTGACAGAAGAGGAAACTGAAGAGTGCTCAACACTGATTCAGGCACATTCCCTTCCCCACGCCAGTAATTTGCCTCTCCTCTCATGACACACTCCTTCTCTGCTCCGTGCACCTCCTCTCCTCTAACCACTTGCTGCCCACCTGGGTCACTCCATCGCCCTTCTTCCCTTCCCAGCCTCGTGCGTGTTGCAGTCCTGGGTGGGAGCGTTGGGTTTGGCAGAAGGACTGACACAAGGCCTTTCGCCCCATTAGCCTGTATTTTAGAGCTCCAATACAGGACACTGACATTCACCACAGTGACAAAACCTCTTTTCACTCCCATAAAATGCCCCCTGAAGTATGACAGCCTGATGGAAATCCCAGTCCCTGGCTTCTTCTTGATGGGTCTCATTAGTAACCCTGGGCTCAGCTTGCTTACTCTTCGACTCCATCACTTCTGATCTGCCAAAGGTTTAGCCTTCTGATACCGCAGGGACAGCCTGCGACACTTGCATTCCTCACAGAAAGGAAGGTACCATTTGTGCCTTATTGCTCACCTCTGAACCTTACAAAAGAAATAAAAGGAGCCAAGAAGGGCCCCAAAGAGGACACCTGCTTCTGAAGAAAAACCACAGGGCATGAAAAACTGGAAGCATTTCCTAAGAGGGCAGAGAGAGAGAGGGAGGATTTAGCTTTAGTGAGAACATCTTGGTTTGCCTAAATATGTGAGTCCCTTATTAAATTACTGTCCTGTTGAATAATAGTGTTCAGCAAAGGGATCAAAACCGTGTCATTCTAGATTGTAAATGAGACTTGGGAATTCAGTGGTGAGGGATAAGCCACAAACCTGGAATGTCCCGATGGGAAAGTAGCAAAGTACAGGGGGTACGGAGAGACCCGGCCAGGCCACAGGTATGAGAGGCAGCGCTCGCTCGGGACGGAGGTTGCAGCCTGGTCCCGAAGAGCCAAAAGCTTCTGATGCAAGCAGCTGTGCTACCACTGAAACACCCTTCCTCCTGGCATGGGCACAGCCCCACTGCCAGGCGCTGTACAAGCAGAAGTGCCGCTGCCCGTCCCGCCGGACGGGGACATGGTTTAGCACTGGCAGGTTTCACATCCTCACCAAGGCTGCCTGACTCTGGGGCTGGTGCTAGTTAGTTAAAGCCAGCTGTTTCTCTAAACTGCACATTTGCAATAGAAACTGAAGTGCCACAAGGTGCTGGACTGAAGAGAGCAGTGTCCCTGCTGTCCCTACTGTCCCTGCTGTCCCTGCCACTGGCCACACAAGCAGCTAAAAGCCACCCCAGGGAAATCTGCCAGCACAAAAGCCCTTTCTTTCCTCTGGGGTGCTTTTCCAGTCCCCTTTTTCTTAAAGCAGCACCAACCCAGCCCGGGTTGTTCCTCAACTCCTCCGCTCCCTTCCCGCTCTCCCAGCAGCAGCCAGGCTGGGGACAATGAGGGATTCAACCTCTTGAGCAAAAGCCAGTAACAGTCCAACCACTGAAGCCTTCCAAGCATCACGGAGATGAACTCTGACCCAAACTCATACTTCTACCATTTATTTACTTGCTCTTTTACTTTAAACTAGCATGTTTCACAGAAGTAACACACCACTTCTCTGCACCAAACACTTCCTCCCACCCAGCCCTTGTGTGCCACCTTCACCCCTTTCAACCCCCTGCCCTGAGTGAGAGGACACCCAAGTCCACCCCGCACTCCCATCAGTATCAGCTATTGCAGATTACACATTTCTCGCCCAGGGGATCCAAGACGCTGTCTAAGGTGCAGGTTTCCAAGCTTGGAAAGCTGCGACCTGTATTGCGAAGCCTTGGCATCCTTCCTGCAGCGGGGCAGCGCACAGCCCGTGCTTCAGGACTAACTGGGCTCTCCTTGTCACACCAGGGGAACTACAACCTGATGCCTTAGGAGAGGATTTGGTGACCTCTTGCTGGAGGAGCTGGGAGCCAGATCCCCGCACAAGGACCATCAGCTCTGAGCTGGACAGGGCCCTGGCTGAGCAGGAACCCAGAAGCTAAATGGGAAGGACTGGGAGTCGGTACTGCTTCAAAGCCTGTGCTGATATGAAATCCATCCTACAGGTGGGACACCTGATCAGAAAGGACTGGTTAATGTTTAATAAGTGACAAAACCATCCTGTGGTAGAGGCGCAGAGCGCTTCCCACCCCCTGGGGCACTCACCGTCCTCGTGGCCGTGCAGGTTCTGTGGGCTGCGCATGCTCTCGTCCTGGCTGGGGCTCAGGCTGGAGTTCAGGTGCTGGTCAGCTGAGATCCATGTGGAGTCGTTCATATCAAAGTCCTCGCTGCTCACCGATGTCTCATCCTGGAGGCAAGCAGGAAAGGGTTAACTCACTGAGCTATTTTCTTCCCTCTCTCTGGCTTTAACATCTCCTCACCACGCAACCCTTCCTAAAAACAATTCGGTCGGCAGCTCCTGCCCCCCACGAGCGCTTGCTGGCCCCTCGGCGCTCCCCAAGGCCACGGCGAGCAGCCCTTCCCTCCGCTGGGCTAGGTGGCTGCCCCAGCGGGGATGGCCGGGCTCTGCTTCCTGCCTGAAGACGTGCCTGAGCAATGGCACTGTCTCTAATTGAGGACAATTAGAAAGAGCTCGCATCCTGTAGGAGCGGATGGCGGAGCCCTGGAGTTTACCCTTTAATCTCCATCCACCCCAGCGTGTTTCTGGCGAGGCAGCGGCGCGTGGGAGCCGAGGACGGGTGCAACTCCATTGAAATGGCTCCGTAAAACATCTCGGACTTTTCTGAGGTCAAATCATCTGCTGCAACAGGAATCACCAGAAGACTGGCACCAGCAGGGAGTGGCTGGTGGGGCAGATCTGGATAGTGGCACCGGTCCCCACAGACCTGCACTGCCTGATGCTGCAGAGGAGGCTCCTGGAGCACAGCCCAGAGGGACGGCTCCTCCAGCTCTCTCCGAAGGGATATCGCCTCTGTACCCTGATCAAAAATGACAACACACACCTTGGGAAGGGGCTGGGGGAGTGAGGTCCCTGGCGAGGCAAGGAAACCCCAGCTCAGGCCGGGGAGCCCGGCCAGCCGCCTGCTCCCCAATGGCATAGATGACATTCCTCTCTCCCACTCCTGCAGCTGAAAGGACATTTTCTCTCTCCCTCTCTCTCCCTTCTCGCTAACCTTTACAGTACTTCGAGACACAGCCCTTGGATCGCTTCCAGCGCCGGAAAGGTCAGCCACAGGATTTCAAAACCATCATCATAAAGGCAGCACTGAGATCCTGAATGAGAGGAGGGGCTGCAGGACCTCCCCGGGCTGAACTCTCCAAACACGCAGCTTGGGAGGAAGCAGATACGTGTTCCCGTATGAACACGGTCCTGCTGGCGATCCCTTTATCTGCCTTCCTCTGCCCGCTCCCCTCCCAAAGCAACGGGCAGAGACCGCATCCAGAGGCCTGGGGTGCAGGGGAACACCGAAAACGTTTCCAGAACCGCTTTCAACTGCGCTTTCCTTTGATTGAAACATTTCAAAGGCTTGTAAACTCTCTGCTCTTATTTTTTTTTCCCTCCCCCGGTCCTGAGATAAAATACAATCCCTGCTCCCTTTCCGTGTAAGAAGCAATTGGCAAGCGCCCCTCCAACCTACGCCTGCGCCTCATAAAAACTGCCCTGTCTGGCCGCCGCTGGCTGACAGTTTTTATTGTGAACAAACAAATGTCTTTAAAGACAGGTTTGTGCTTTTCCTCCCCACTCCTCGTCCCTGCAGACACATCTGCTGGCTCGGGGCTCGCTGCCGCCCCCAGCCTGCTCCCTCCATGTGCCTCCCGGGGAGTTTCCTGGAATTTACAGCTTGTTAAACCCTGCACGAACCAACGGATGGACGGATGGGACTCAGCAGCCCCCTGCACGCCCACCAACGGAACGGGGACACCCTGACCCCCAGACCCACCTGTGCTGCCAGCCAGGTCCCCCCGTGCAGCCCCCCCAGTGCCCAGGTCCAGCAGACCAAGAGAGGGGGGGGAGGCAGGGGGGAGGCATGGCGTCCCCTGGCTCTGCACAGCACCGCTGCCATGCCAGCCACGAAGCAATCCTGCCTCTCCAGAAACTCCATCTTGTACGTACAGGAACAGAACTGCAAAGGTCTCCCTGTTGCAAACTATAAATAGTCTCTTTATTGTAAGCATTTGCAGGGAGGCAGCCACCCTAATATCTGGCCTTCTTCACAAGGCTTACTCCAGATTACTGTCAGAGCTTAAGAGACAAACGCAAATGCCAAGGTCCTTGCTGCCCACAGTCTCTCACCTGTCTGGTGAGGAGGAGGAGCCCTGGGAGCAACCCACAATTTTTTTCGGAAAGCGTCTGGCTCAGGCATGGCGTCTGCGGGGCTCAGCTGCAGAAGACGCCCAGCCTCGGCACCCAAATCACAACCCGGGAGGCATCATGCTCTCCATGCGCTCACACATGGTGGAAAAGAGGTGACATGCAGGATGCCTCGCATGCGCATGCTATGTAAAGTGCTTTATAAATGTGTACAATTCTCTCGAGGTGCAATAACATTCGCCTATTATTAGAAATACTCTGGGTATCAAACCAGAAACTGATAAGCTATAAATGACTCAAGTCAAACAAGGCCATCACACGTTCACCAGTCCAGGATCCAGCCACCAGCAGAAAGAGCAGGTTGCTGCTGTGGGACCTTGCCGGGCAGCCCCGTCCCCACGTCCACAGTGTCACCCCCTACTTTCCAGCCAGAGTTTTCCTCTTTCCAGCACTAATACCCTTGGCCAAAACACCAACGGGACAAACTTCCCAGCAGCGCACAGCTCCCGCAGCACAGCCCGCCCCAGGGGAACGCAAAGCTGACCATGCAGGCGGCATCGCGTGAACCCTTCGCAGCAGCGAGGAACGGCCAAAGCCGGCGGTGGGAACTGCCGAGAGAGCATCTGCTGCCTGCTGGCTTGGGGCAGCCCCCGCAGCTCTGCCCACGCCATGGTGCCCCTGGAGCTCCTCACACCTTTGTGCCTCTTCCCTAAAGTGCAAGAGAAAGGCCCCGACCTCGAGCACGGCTTTGGCCATCCCCATCACTGCGGCTCTGGCATCCTCTGCTGCCACTCAGCTCACTGGGACACCAGAGGCCACCAGCAAGCTCCGTCCTCAGGACACCCCTTGGAGACCAAAGGCTGAGCGTTGTGACCTCCTCATGCTGCCCGTCAGTGCCAGTGGCAACTGCTGGCACTGGCCCACTCACGCCAGGGACAGTCCCAGGGATGGGAAGCCCCGGCAGCAACACCCGGAGCACCGGCTGCCCAGCCACAGCCCAGGAGCAGCCCCATTTCAGTCGGCTGGAGCGGAGGGACAGCAGCACAGCACACACGCTGGCGTCAAAACACAGGACACCAGAATGGGATCAACATTTCTGGCTGGGTGGGCAGCTCTGAATTTCCCCTGGATGCCAATAACCTGGCTGAAGGCTGAGCCTCAAAGTGGGCTCCATCACCCAGCCAAACAAGGAAGCGTTTCTCAACAGCAGCAACAGCTACAACTCGGAGCAATACGGTAAATCTAATCTACCCTTCCACCCTCTTTTGGCTTGCAAGTCAGGCAGCTCATTCTTTTTCCTCTCTGGGTTCTCAGGAGAATTCTCCCTGCTAATTTCTTCTTTCCTGTAAACAAACTTCAAATGAAACTTTCATTAGAAAACCGAGCGCAATCCATTACCAGTGCCTGTCTCAGGACCAGCTGCCTTTTCCCCAGTTCCACGCCACTCATGGCAGAGATGGAAGTGACAGTGGCTGCCCCAACCAGCCAGCCCAGAGCCAAACCCCAAGCCCCGGCACTGCCGCTGCCGCCCTCCTCCTTCCTGCCTTTCCCAGCTCCCCGGAGAGATCTCCTCACCCCACAGTAAAGTCCCATCGCTTTGTTTCCAACGTTCAAGGGATTGAGCGATCAAGGGTCAGGCAATGTGCATGCAACTCCTCTTCTGCAAGGGGAAGTCGGATCCTGCTGGTGCATTCACAGGCCACACCCAAACATCGGAGCAGGGCTCCCGCCACCGCACGGGGTTTGGAAAACAACATCCTTGCTCCTCTCCTTATCTACAGTCCAACATTCACAGCTGCTCTGCAGACACTGGCAGCCAATATTTTCTAACTGGCAAAGGCAGACACTGATATGTGCAGGACTCACACTCTGCCTTTCTGTCCCACTTTCCATTCACCGATCTTTGAGCACCGCGCGTGCACGCATCCGCTGAGCCTCACAACTTCCCTCCGAGTTATAAAAGTATTCTTCCTATTATAGAGCTGGAAACCCCAGGTACTGACAGCCGCCCTGGCTGGTCCAAGAACACAGCGAGTCGCTGGCAGATCCAGGAACATAATCAAGATCTCCGGACTGCAAGGCTTTAACTGCTAGACAATGTTTCTTCCCTGGCGGCTCTCCTTCCTGGAGAACAACCTCCCATAGCGTGAGCTGGAACAGGGCAGGGGGGGAAGCTACTCTTATAACCGTATCTCGTAAATATATGCAAGGCTATCGGTAACCTGCTTATTTTACAGCCAGGCTCAGTTTCTCGGGGACTGCCTCGCAAGTCTCTCTCCAGTCATTTACATGCTGTGCCTCACGCTTAATATTCCAGGCTCCGAGTCTCAGGACGGTTTATTTTCTCTCTTTGAGTCCTTTTATTTTAAAACGTGTCCTTTCACGCCACAGCCTACTATCCCGATGGGATTTCCTTCCGCGGAGCAGGAACCGAGGCTGTGTGCCGTGCAACCTCCCCAGCGCGCAGCCACGCTCAGCTTCCCACCAGAAGCAGCCGTGTTTTTAGAGTCAACAAAAGGCAACGCGTGACTGCCAGCCCCCGGAGCTGCTCCACCGCCGTGCCAGCCACGACCTGCCCGGCACAGGCAGCCCCCAGGCCTGCCAAACCTGGCCGGGACAGAGCACCTCCCGCCGTGACCCGCGGCAGCAGCTTGGTGCTCGGGGACGAGCTCTCAGGAAGGCAGCCTCATCTCCGTCTCAGCCACTGTTTAAACCCGGCCCTCTGAGCATGCCAAGAAGGTATTGAACCAGATTTGACCCTAACTTAACCAGTTCAGCGCAGAGAAAGGCTTACTAATGGAAGATAAAACACTCCAGGTCAAAGATTGATACTGCAGCCACAAATACTGTGGTGGTCATTGCTTCAAAGAGCCCGAGGAGCCTTAAAGCACAAGGGTGTACGCTGGCTGTGAGCTGTGACTGTGCTGCCTACTCGGCTGTGCAATTCACACACCAAACAGAACATCCCCAGCGCTCTTTGTCAGGTCACTTACGTCCTCATTTGCTGCAGTTTCTGCCGATTTCTACAGGACGCG